TATAATAAGGGACTTGCAGACCATTATTTGGATGTAAATTTATTCTTCCTTTTAAGAGCAGTTATTTGAATTTCATTTTCCAATTATCTTACAAATGATGAAATGGAATTATAAAAGAGAGAGTCAGTCTTTCAGGGATGAATGAATAAATCTTATGTTTTAAATTCCTTTTTAAGTTCTGATGCTTTTTTCATGTATACTTGTAAAAAGAGAAGTTAGAGAAAAATATTGTTTAAATACCAACACAATTAAGAAAAATATCTAGCTTCTTACTCCATGAATGCAAGGAAAAAAATCAATATAATACTCAAGAGATTCAACTTCATATAGTATAATTCCCTTTCAGAATAAGAAGTATGCACAACTCTTTTTCTACCTATAACCTCAAATACTTTCTCATCTAATAAATTCTATTTTCTGTTCTGAATATAATTAGTTCCTAATGTTGAGTTTTCACCTACTGATATAGACTAACCAAAGAATAATTGCATTCTCTGCACACAGACAGCAATATTTATAGCACATAGCAGTTGGAACAAAATAGATATGCTTTTAGGTCTGCAACTTTCTTCATATAAGTTAGGAAAAGAAATATACTTCTTACATGACAACTGCATGCCTGTTTCTGGCCAAGGCTGATTTTATAAAGGATATAACTGAACTTTCATTTAAACATTTGAGTTATTATTAGTTCTAGTATATAAATGAGGAAATGACTAGAGAGTAATGAAGAAGGAAGAGGGAAATCGTGAAAGGCAAAAGGGCTAACCATGCCTAAGATAACATTTGTGATATATTCTAATTCTGACAGAATAATGTCAGAATGATACAAACATACAAAAAAATAAACAAAACCCTAATTTGTCACCTTCTCAGGATGCCTGGAACCCAATTGATTTATCATGAAGACTTGGTAAATAAAAAGAAAAAAACCAACCATTTTATCTGCTCTTTCCTGTATGAATTGTTACCTCTGGGTAAATAGATACAAGACAGTAAAAGCATCTCCTTATAAAATTATTCTAGTTAGTCAATTAAAACAAAAAAGACAAGAGCTTAAATATTGCCATTAAAAAAAAAATTTGTTTTTTGAGTCAGGGTCTTACTCTGTCATCCAGGCTGGAGTGAAATGGCATCATCACGACTCACCACAACCTCGAATTCCTGGGCTAAGACCCTCCTTCAGCCATGGTTTCTTAATGAACTGAGACTACAGACACATGCCACCATGCCTGGCTAATTTTTTTAAAAAATTTTGGGGCCAGGCTCGGTGGCTCAGCCTGTAATCCCAGCACATTGGGAGGCCGAGGTGAGTGGATTGCCTGAGCCCACGGGTTCGAGACCCACCCGGGTGACTTGGCGAGACCTCATCTCTATAATAAATCAAAAATTAGCCGGGTGTGGTAGCGAGCGCCTGTAGTTCCAGCTTCTTGGAAGGCTGAGGCGGAAGGATCGCTGGAGCCCAGTAGGTTGAGGCTGCAGTGGCCGGGAGCAGCCACTGCACTCCAGTCTGGGTGACAGAAACTCCAACTCAAAAAAAAAAAAAATTTTGTAAAAATGAGGTCTGCTACTTTACCGAGACTGGTTTCGAACTACTGGGCTTAAGCAATCTTCCCACCTCAGTCTCCCAAAGTACTGGGACTACATCTGTGAGCCACTACACTTGCCCTAAATATCACCGTTTTATCATTGATTGATGCAGTAAACATAAAAACTGCTAATATTAGAGCAAAAAAAAGTAGTAAAGACCAGACATTGTGTGCCTCTTGATGAAAAAGAACATCATCCCCTGCTTAGTCATGCCTAAGGATTGAACCTGAGCCGGATTAATCCTCTGGACCCAGCTGAAACCGTAAGACACAGAGGACAGAGAACATTGTAAACTTCATCATCAGTCTACAGTCAACAGTCTGTAGGCAACTCTCCAAGACCAGCAATTCAGGATCTTCAACAGAAAAATTGAGAAGAAATGAAAGGGATGGAGAGGGGACCTACAGATTGAGGAACTCAAAGGTCAATCAAATTTTTACAAATGAGCAAGATTAAACTATGCACCCTAGGAAGGCAAATAAGTGACAGAGTCATAGAGAATCAATTGGCTGTAAGGGGATGGAGGACACAGAGTAGCTTATAGGATAGCCATGAAAGTTTTACTGCTTGTCCTTTTACAAGAGTGTTTGCCTTATAGTAACAAGCTAAGCAGTTTTGTTTTTTTTAAAATGAGAATTGGAGCTATCTTTGATGAGGAGAAGTGACTGAAAAGAACATATGAGGTGCTGGTTTTGTTTTGTTTCTTGAGGTAGGTATTGATTATACAAGAATATTCACTCAAGATATTCTTTTCCAGGTATAAATTATACCTCAAAAATGTCTTTTAAAAGATTTTTTTAAATATCGACCTAAGAAATAACGTTTTAAGTATCTGAAAATACTCTTTTAAGTTACATTTTGGTGAAAAGACTAAATCAAAATCATATATATCATTTAGGGAATTATGACAATGACGTTGCTTACTACATTTTCAGAATCAAGGTCAATTTCGAAAAAGACAGATATGCTTTCAGGACTCCAACTTTAACAAAAATATTGAAATGAATAATTTAATATAGTCTTATATGAACTTTTAATAAAATTACAAAATAATACCTGTTTTAAATGACTAATAATGTGCAGATAACTTTCAATCCTATTTCATAAATAGAAATATTATCGTTAATGAGAAATAAAATGCATTGCCATTGAACATTGTTTTGAGAGTTTCACAAAAAGCAATGAGAATTATCATCAGAGGTATTACTATAGAGAAAAAGTAGATAAATATTTTATTAATTGCTGGTAAAAGCATTATTTTCTAATAGAGTATAAGGATCAACTGAGATACTTTTTTAAATGGAGTCTATTCAGTTAGTGAAAGATATATAAAGTTTTGCTTTAAAAAGGCACAGAATGGTTTTTTCCAAATTAATCTATAAATGCAACAAAAAAAAAATCCATTAAAATTCCAATGCTTTCAACTTCTTCCTCTGTATCCAAAAAAAAAAAAAATGATTAATGGATTTTTATTTGCTTTTGCTACAAAATGAGTATATAGAACAGATAACCACCCTTAAAAATAAATGCCTGTGTGGATCAGAAACTGAACAGAAAGCTACAGGTAGGGTCAAAACCCCACTGGCTGCTGTGAGCTGGGTTTGAGTTACGTAAAGACAGCAAGGAGTGTGGCTATCCACCAAGTGACAATGAGTTTGCTCTTGTAGGAAAAAAGACAGACAGATGCCTGGGGCTTTATACCACAGTACCGAAAATAGAAGAGGTATGGGGACATCCATATTAGGAGGCACAGTACACAAGCAGATTGTGGAGAAGGGCGTAGCTAGAAAATGGCTGTAAAATTAGAAGGATAAGATTTTTAGTTTGTGATATTGAGCCCAAATTGCGATTAGGGAAAACTTAATAGAATAAGAATCAAGCAGCAAATTCAGCTAAAGAGGATTACAGCAGGAGATCTCTTCTTTATGGAAGAGAGGAAAATCACTAACTTGAACCCTGATTAGAGGAGGGAAATGGGAAGACACGCCAACACACGTGCAGAAAGGGACATCGAGACACCACACCCCAGAGGAAATGTTCCCAACCACAAAGCGTCAAGGAGATCTTGTCACAAAACAGCTAAGGGCTGACCCTTCTCAGAGGCATCAGAATGGGCTCAATGAGCTCCATGTGCTCCCTTCTCTCTGCAGATGGAGCAGGAGATGGTTGGGGCTGGTTCCTCTCAATTTTCCTCTGGAAAAGTTTCAAATGTCCCAACTAGTTACAGTTGCCAGAAAGGGCCAGCAGGCAATCTCTTTTTTTATACCAGTGATAAAAATCACTACCATTAACCCTGATTAGAGCAGGGAAAGAGGAAGACACACTAACACACATGTGCAGAAAGGGCATTGAGGCACGCAGTTCAGAAGGAACTACAGAATCGGGTGCCATGTGAACAGGGAGTGAAGGGGCCTAGTTTAGAGTGACACATGAGTGACACCATGAATGCACGCTGCCCACAGAGCCCTGGAGGAGTCATCTGGCCTCAGGCAGACTCTGAGTGTGCAGGATCCCCAGCGACCTCATGCATGCTAGATCAAGGAGAATAAATGCCCTCCCCATGCTCGCAGGTAACACAGTGTGTGTGTGTGTGTGTGTGTGTGTGTGTGTGTGTGTGTGTGTGTGTGTGTATTTTGAGTTGGAGTCTCACTCTGTTGCCCGGGCTGGAGTGCAGTGGCACTCACGCCACCCCAGTTTCGACCTGCTGGGCTCCAGCAATCCTTCCACCTCAGCCTTCCAAGTAGCTGGGACTACAGGCATGCACCACCATGCCTATATATATATATATATTTTTTTTTTTTTTAATTTATTGTAGAGATGAGGTCTTGCCAAGTTGCCCAGGCTGGTCTCGAGCCTGTGGGCTCAGGCAATCCACTTGCCTCGGCCTCACAAAGTGCTGGGATGACAGGCTGAGCCACCGAGCCTGGCCCATTGTGGGCTTTTAATGTGTTCACTATTCCCACCCTGAAGTAGTAATAACTGCCAGAAAGAGAGTCTGGATGGCAAAAAACAGGAAGACCATATGGCCCTTTCTGGCAACTGTAACTGTTTGGAACATCTGAAACTTTCTCCAAAGGAGAATTGAGAAGAACCAGCTCCTGGCCATCTCCTGCTCCCCTGAGCTACGTTCGCAGAGAGAAGGGGGCACATTAAACCCATTCTGATGCCTCTGAGAGGGCTCAGCCCTCAGCTGTTCTGTGATAAGATCTCCTGGACCCTTGGCTCAGGCTAGAAGTATTGAGTTCAGTGTGTTCATACTTGGAAACTCCATTTCCCCTTCAGAGAATTAGTAATTGCAATGTAAAATGGGAGGAAATGATGTTTTCAATCTCTGTACCACAGGGCTGAGGGATCTCTGAGCATGGCTATGACTTCTTTAGGCAGCAAAAATGATTAAGTCTGAATCTTACCCCATGGGCGTCCTAATAAGAGCATGTCCTGAAGTTGGAGGGACTTCACCATTCAGCATTTTGAAGGTGGTGCTCTTTCCAGCTCCATTCTCCCCGAGAAGCCCAAAGCACTAAGAGGGAATAAAGTTAAATAAAGCAAGTTAAATAAAATCAAAATTATATTAGAAACAGTATTTGCTTTTGGCCAACTCTGACTTGATATGGCTGGTCTGTGGTATTTGTAGACTTTTAAAATCACACTATTGTATAAACCACTATATAGATTGTGAGGTCCTTTCAAAATCATCATGGCACTTGAGTGGTATAAAAGTTTCAGCATGAATTTACAGACAAGTAAATGCATACATGGAAGACTCAAGAGGATGAGAACTAAATGCCAACCCCAAATGACACAGAGATAATGTAATATCATTTAGAAGTAACAACTTCATAATAACTTAATTGTCCTCCTAATTTTATATTTGTGTATTTTAAAGTACTTTCTAAAAATATTCTATCTTCTACTCTCCCTATACTCCATTATGTATATACATACACACGTGTACACACATATAGACACAAACATATGTTTTATACATACATATGTAATATATACTATATATATGCCCACAGCTTTCTTGCAGTCCTTCTTTTTCCATTGAAGAGGCTATAAATTTGCTCCTAACCCAGAGGCTAGGCTAATTCTGATATTAATTTAAAAGATGACCTTTAGTTCTATACTCTGACGCTCAGCATCAAGTCAATTTATGCCTTGATCCAGTCTTGCCTTAGGGTTCATATGGAAATGGTCTTCCTGCTCTCTTGTCTACACCTTGCCTCTACCTTATGCCTCAATGGATATTTTGCTTGAGCCACCAGCTTGGAGACTGCAACTCTCTGCTTCTTGCCAATCTCCTTCCAAGACAGTCAATTTCTGATGGCTAGGTTCTGTTGCCTATGGACACAAATTGGCATCCTGGCTCCTTGAATCTTGGAAAGTGAAAGCTTCTGGACTTTCTTTTCATCAGGCCCCACTTAATCACAACATATTTGGTACCCTGGATTTTACAACTCCCCTGAGTTGCCACCTGTTTCCATTTATCATGTTCTCCCAGTTTCTCTAGCTGAAATATGGGCCCATCTTGTTCCAAGTCTTCTCAGTCCCATGTCACCACCATCAGACAGACCATACCTAAGCTAGGCATCCCAGGGTATTCCGCCATCAGCCTATCCAAATTATATCTAAGTTTTAAGGCTTCCATATAAACCCACTTTTTAAAGAAAGCTCTTCAGTACGTAACCCACTTATGTACCTAATCCTGACTTGTACCCCACATCTTTAAAATAAAATATAAAAAAAGAAAGCTCTCCCCACACACCCTGTCCTCTCATACTCCCTTTCCATCCTACCCTGCCCCCCTTTCTAGACTCATAGCACTGAAAAAAATACCACTCATGTGACTTCCAGTCTTCTCCTGCCTTAGGACAGTGTGTATGTGCTATATGCAGTATGTGACACTGTATATGCTTACATTTTGTTTCCTGCCCAGTTATTAATTCCTAGAGCAGAAGGACATGCAGTCATGTGCTACACAATGACATTTCAGCCAATGACAGACTACATATAAGATGCTGATCTTATAAGATAATACTGTACTTTAATGTACATTGTCTACGATTAGATATGTTTAGATATACAAATGCTTAACTTTGTGTTACAATTGCCTACAGAATTCAGCACAGTAACATGCTGTACAGGTTTGTAGCCTAGAAGGAAGAGGTGGTGTAGCCTCGGTAGATAACAGGCTAAACTATCTAGGTTTGTATAAGTACACTCTATGATGTTCACATGATGATGCTTTCCTAAGAACATAACCCCATTATAAAGTGATGCAGGACTGTATTTAGTTATCTCTGTATTTTCCACAGGCTCTTGAATAGCACTTTCCATCTAGGTAATTAAACTTTGATGCTCATAAAAAGTTAGAGAACAGAACCCAAATTTAAATGGCATCTTGGACGATTTCAGAAAACTGGAGCATCGTTCTTACAGGTTTCCAAGTTTTTCTTTTAGCTATTTTGGGGGTCAGAAAATGATATATTGTCACAGTAAAGGCCTCAGAAGCGGCCTCCAAAGGAAAATCTTCTCTCTGACCTTCTCCTGCCCTCCTATGTCTGGTCTCTCAGTCTCACCTTAGACGAGCCAAGGAAACTAGAATCCCTCTTCCCCAAGGCAGGTGATAGAAACCAGAACAACTTTTCCCCAAAGTCATCCATGAAACTTAAAAATATTACTCTACTTCCTCCATTTTTCTGAGTAAAAACTGGCATAAAGAAATTATCTGACCTACTTTGTCAGCCATAATCCCCTTTCTAGAGGGGGTTCTGCCCCATTTCTAGGGGGAAGGAGTATTACACAGAGAGTCCAACAAGAATCTAAACAGGCAGGCCTTGTTGCATTTCCCCAGTGAATATAAACATTAGATCATACCCTTCTTGTCCAATCACATTTCTGCATGGTTGCTCACCCTTGGTTGAACCTATGCATAAAAATTGACACTTTCCTCTATATCTTTGGGTCTTCATTCTGAAGACTCCCGTGTCATGTAAAACCACCATCAAATAAATACATATGCCTTTTTTCTATTCAACTGCCTTTTGTCAGTTGATTTTCAGCAAAACTTCAGAATGCAAAGTGAAAGTTTTTCCTTGGTCCCAAGATTCCCTTGCTTAAAATAACCATGGAGACGTAGTGGCAAAACTGACACTAATTTTTAAGTAAGGATTTTTTAAAAATCGTTCAATAGGATGGCTAGAATTGCACAGCCAGCCTTAGAACAGTAGTCCTACCTTACAAGCAATAAGTAGCAAACAACAACAACTACAAAAATAAAATCCTTCCTTAATATTTTGTCTTATCCTACCTGAAACTGTAGCAGTGAAAATGAGGATACTCATGCATTACTTCAGATTGGTCTCTTGGCTTCTCCTTACCTTAAAATACTCATCTCTGAAACACCTACTCTCAGGTCACAAATAGAATGGGGTTATTGATCAGATAACAATATGAGCTACTTTGAATTTCTCAAGAGCTTGTAACAATATGAATGCAAGGTGCTCTTTTATTTTTGACAGTTAATTAAAGGTAATCATTTCTAGTACTGATTTCCCTTTATGCATTAAGCACAAATCAGGAACAATTTATATGGCTTTTATCAGTTCTGATTAAACATTACTACTAGAATTAATGTCTTCTCTGTGAAAATAATTTCTGAGCTATTATTATGGCGTGTGCATGTTCTTTACCACTCTAGAGTAGCATTTTACCAGACTGATTTAATTGGACACTTAAACAGCATTGAAGTTCAAGTAAGAGATGAAAGTGGTTTCTTTAATTGGGTTCATAGGATATTTGCACTCAATAAAACATCACTCCACAGTTTAAACAACAAATAAAATTATCCAATCACACAAAAGTTTAAACATTATGAAATAAATTAATCGAAAATCAGCACAAGATGGTGATGGCATAGGTGGATTTGTGAGACTCTCTGAAAGTGAGTTGCCAAAAAGACTCTTACTTTTCTTCCCACAGCCCCCTGCCCACCACCAGCCACACTGGTACAAGGCCTGGGGACCTTCAGTCCCACGCAGGGCCAGATATTGCAGCCCCCGGCAGCGGCTGCTCTACTATATGTGACTCCCACCTGCTCAGGAGTCCCGGGTCTCAGCTCCTTCCCTGGCTACATCGTCTTGCCCAGCACCCAGCAACAAACTGCTGGTTACCCAGGGAGGCTCGGGGCGCCCACCCTTTAGAGATACCGGTCCCATTTCTGGCTGAAGTGCCCTGTGAGGGACCCAGGGCCACCACCTGCCCTTTGGAGCTTTGGAGCTCTGGAGCCCCGGCCCCACCCTGGCTGAGGCACTCAGTGTGTGACCTCAAGCTTGTATAAGGGAGCAGAACCCCAAGCTTGAGTAAGGTGCTGATCGGAGACTTCCAGCTCCAGAGGAGGGAATGCCCAACCCTCTCCTCCACCCCAGCCTGCTGGT